ATTTTCTCCTATCTACACTGTCAAATGCCGTTTGATAATCAATGAAGCTGATTGTTCGACGATGATCCGTAAAGTCGCAATTCGGTCTGTGCACGACCGATCCTTATGGAATCCAGCTTGTTGATCTCAAATTTGGGCGTCCACTGCGATTTTCCCCGGTGTTGACAGTAGTGTAATGCCTCTGTAGTTTTCACATTTGCTCAGGTCTCCTTTCTTTGGAAACTTGATGAGGTGTCCTTCTTTCCAGTCCATCGGCGTTTGTTCCTCCTCCCAAATCTTTTTGAATAGAAGGTAAAGCATGTTTGTAGTTACTTCGATGTCTGACTTCAGTGCTTCAGCTGGTATGTTGTCGGGTCCTGCTGCTTTCCCGTTCTTGATTTGTCTGACGGCCATTCTGATTTCTTCCGTCGTTGGTGAATTGACATCTATAGGAAGATCTGTGTGCTGCTTCGATGTCCGAGGGATTCTTTCGAGCCGGCCTATTCAGGAGTTCCTCGAAGTACTCTACCCGTTTGTTCCACTGTCCTTGAATTTTAGTGATTGGTCTGCCTTCTTTGTCCCTGACCGGTCTCTCCTGTTTACTATATCTCCCTGCTAGTTTATTCGTTGTATCATAAAGCTGCCTAATACTTCCTTCTCTTGCAGCTTTTTCCGACGCCGCTGCTAGTTCTTCCAGCTATTTCTGCTTGTCGGCCTTAATGCTCTTCTTCATTTGCCTGTTTGCCCCTGTCTATTCAGCTTATGCCTTGACTTGTTCTGTTTTTTTCGGCTGTTTTTAATTACCACCCCCCTGTTCTCCCCTTCTTTAATCTTGCCCAGGGTTTTCATAGAGATCCACTCCTTATGATGATACTTTTCGAGGCCTAGAACCTCTTAACACGTTGAAGTTCTTGTTTCTTTGATCCCTTTTCAGGTGTCCTCCATAGTGGATTCTTCTTCCTTTAGTAGATCCTGTAAGGCTTGAAACTCGTTGTTGAGTGCTGTCTTGGATTCGTTGAATTTGTTAGTATCTCGAAGGAAGGCTGTATTGGACCTTTGTAGTGCTGTTTATCCGGTTTCCCACTTTTTTAGCTTCAGTTTTAAATTGGCCAAAACTAGGTGGTGATCTGAAGTTTGTGTGGAAATATTGTGCCTCCTATGACCAATTTGCTGAATGCACACAGATTTGCAAATCTATCCTCATTTTCGTTTTGTTTGCAAATGTAGTCACCTCAGAGTCACAAAAATGAATCAAAAATTCAGCTTGCACGGAAGGCACACATCACCAATAATGTTTGCTTACTGAAATCTAGAACACATGAAACATTGAGCGAACAAGGTCTTCCGCCACAACGATACATTTGGAAACGCCTACCTCAATTTTTAATTGATGTTTGGCTCATTTAAAATTGTGTTGTGAGTTGAAGGAGTCTTACATTATGCACTCCGTTTAACAACATGTTAGAAAACGCTTTGTCTACGGATACTCGTAAATAAATAACCGTAGCTTCTGCGTAGCGTGTAAGATGTCCATCTAGAATATAATAATGCTATAAATTTGACTAACAAAGTAAATTACAGGGTTCTACCCTAAAGGCGGTGAGTATTAATGATGGTTATATATTCCTGACATTGTTAGTTTACACTATTTATTCAGGGATTATAAATGACCTTTAGAGAGGAAGGTTGTATACACTTGAACATAGACTTTCGAAACAAAAATTTCAGGGTTGTCAAAAACTAGCTTAAAAAAATAAGAAAATAAGAAAGCTTCATCTCGTTGTGAAGAAATAAAAGTGCTGTATGAAAACTATTTATATGATGGAAAGCTAACCGTAGAAGCTGACAACAGTTCGGAATAATATATGCTTCCTGTGACCGATTGAGATCGAACAGCATGCAAGCCCATTAAGACACATGTTTGCTCCAAGTGGAACTGTAACAGCTTACGTTGGTTGGTTAAGAGTTGACCCCAAACAACCAAGTATATGCCAAAACAGTATTGTTCAAGTGTCCATTCACTTCCTTGTTTTGTATAAGCGTTATATTCCCTATTATCTTATATTGAATGTTGAGAGCCTTTGTTTGTCTGAACAGATAATCCCACGCTCCACTGTGACCGCGCTGAGATCGAAATAAAGACCTATTCAATACTTGTCTGGTTTCTTCTATCAATAGCACGAGGGTTACTTTAAGGCACGAAAGAACAAAGCAGAAGACATGCATCTCCATGGAAGAATGCAAGGCAAGTTCAAACAGTAGAAAATCTCAAAATCTTGTGTTGCGAGAAAGATCGTGAGCACCAGAGCATGGTAAACTATAGTCAGTGGGTGAAGCATGATAACTCATTTAGTTAAATAATTATGTATATGTAATGAATACAGTGGATGTGTGATATGTTGGTGAGCAGTCGATCGTATTCTAGTACAAAGTCTGGATATTTTATGGTTCAGAAAAAAGTGACCCAGTACTAAGTATGTGTTCCAGAAATAGTTGAAATGCCTTTCATGGCCTTATATTAGGATGACTATTTGTTTGATCACGCAAGTAGTATAACCATCACAAAATGTATTACTAGCCAGTTCCACAGATCTGTGAAGAGCTTGAAATGTATTTGCTCTATGTATTTTATGGCTAGTGGTGTAATTACTTTCTTTCTTAACCTATAAATAGGGTCGTGAGTCATATTAGAGGGAGAAATTAAATGTGTGAGACCATGTATTACTACATGAAAGTATCGGCTTGTCCTTCAGTAGACGGCTCCATAAAGGTTCAGAGAGAAGTTTTCGACACTCAGCTGTATGTTCACTAGTAGAGTCGCAATCTAGCAATTGATGAGTGGAGATTCCTTAGGCATTCTCAAATCATATATTGTGTGCGCAAGGTATTGCTATTTGAACACAAATTACCACCGCTATTTTCACGTTTGAAGATGTATGATTAGTATTCTGAAGAGCGTCATACGAATATTATTTAATGGCAAATATTTTTTGCAATGAAGCTTACAAGATGGCCAGATTGAGAAACGATAAAAGAGTCAAGCCCAAGTAACTTCCCATATGGTTGTACCAAGATGCCAAGTGTTTCTACTCTATATTTGTCCAGGAAAAGTTGTAGTTAATAGTGACGTTCACTGTAGTCTTTGATGTCACACACCACGGCTAGGTGGTTACTTCCATTTTTGCTCCAGGTAGATGGGTTCTCAAAGTTGTCCTTGATCTGAGATATACCTTTGTTGAGAGCTTCAAGCCTAGAACCGTGAAAGATCCTAGAGTTATGAGTGTATAAGTACTGTCTGCTAAACTTTGTGATTTTGTGCATACTGTCTTCGTAAATGAGAACCCGTGAATGCAGTGAGTTAGTGATTCCGTAGGATCTTATTTTGACGAAAACACACTGATGTTGAATTTTCTAAAAATTATCTTAAAGTCTAAAAGGATTGCTGATATAAATACTCTGTCATCATTTTTCTGGACTTCATCATTCAGGTAATCTGCGGATGCGTACATAACCCAGTTCTCAGGAACCTGTGCCGAAATCAGATAAAAATGATGATAGGAAACCTTGAAAAATATCACATTAAGTCATTGGTTTTGATAGCAGTTCACCATATTCTGACTTGCTAAGTGTTTGAACGAAGAGCTTACGAAAGATGGCTGAACCCTTTTTTACTCCACATTTGAGGAACTTATGTGAATGCAGCTATTCCAATAGCGGTGAATGATGGCGAGAGAACACCGTTAGCAAATAGCTCAAATAACCTACACACAGATTAAGGTCAAGCAATGTGTATCATTCTCCATGTCGGGATCTAGTCAGTCATTCAAGTCTTCAGTTAGATATCTCATTCCAAGCTGTCAGTCTGTTTACTTGTAACAACTCTACTATTGTTGAGCTATTGCTTCATGGAGAACACTCAATTAATGGTGTTTCACCGGACAGTCACAACATTAAGGTATATGGGAAGACTTGAAATCCGACTTTGAATAAATAATAGGGTTTTTTGAGCAATAGGTAATACCAAAACATCACGATTATTAGGGACCAACAGGGCAAGTCAGCGACCTAATCTAGATTATTTTCTGTTTTTGTCGTGAATGAATTGTTAGCTAATCATTTATCTCACAACACTTGATTAATGGGTCCCGTTTCAAGTATGAGATGACTTGTTACAATAAGAAATTATGTTGTTAGAGCACTTTAATCGGTTTTGTGCGCAGGTAACTTTTTGGAGATATTCAAAAGTCTATGAAGTCACTGATAGGAAGTGTGTTTAAGGGCATTCGGGCCAGTCGGACGAGCCCGATCGTTCCAGTCTCCTGTCATCTTCGGTCTTCCTATATGCTGACGGTGTCATGAAATGGAGAGCGATAAAAATTGAAGGTGATAGCTTGGAGCTTCAAAATGACCTGGAAAAATGATCTAAATGGTCTCAAACTTGGTGGTTGCTGATAAAAACTTTCAAGTGTATTTTGATGCATAGTGGTCATCAAAATACAGATATATGGATGATGAATAACATTGAGCTACCTGTTGTTCAGACACACAATGACTTGGGAGACTTAAAAATTACAGCACAATGCCGCACAGTAGCCGCTAAATGTTTTAAAACCCTATGGCCAGTACGTAGGGCCTTCAGCCATGTCGAAGCTAAAAAGTTTTTGACTTTGTATACAGTATTCGTGCGTCGTCAACTCGAGTGCTTCATACAAGCGGCTAGCCCCTTCTTAAAAAAGACAGTGAACTTTTGGAAAAGATAAAGATGGCTGAAACTAAGCTGATCCCCGTATGACGCTCGGTTGATTAAAATATTGCCATTGTCGTATCGAAGATCTCGAAGCGACTTGACAATGGATTTCAAATTACTTAGTGATGAATTTGCATCTGATATACCCTCGTTTTTCTTTTCTTCCAAAACATAAAAGTTAAGAGGACACTCCGACAAAGTTCACAAGTTCAGAACAATTTATTTGTCAGCTGACTATCGACTTTCCCATCTAATCATCGAGTGGAACTCATTACTTCAACACGTGGTTGAAGCTCCGTCTTTCGACTATTTGAAAAGAAAATTGGATCAGCTTAGAGACTATCATTGCCAGGACTAACACCGACCATCTAGACTCCTGTCCTGAGCAAACTGATACTGAAGTACGAAAAGTCATGGAAACGACCTTGAGAATTCTGCAAAGATGAAATATATATGAATTTCTGTGATACGGCTGCACTTGTGTTCAAATGAATAATTACCTGAAACAATACTTTGGATTTACAATTCCTTTCTTAACTCCAACAATTTTGATTTTATGGCTTTCTATAAGGTTGCTGACTCTACATTCCCAGCAGGCATATCGATATTTAAATGAACTTTTATTCGCATTCTTTATGCGAACCTTTCTTTTTATATTTGGATACATGAATGTTAGAAAGGTACACAACTTTTAAAGCTATAAATTAAAGATACACGTTTACGGCGACGTTGATTTTATTAAAAGAAAAAACGAGAGAGTTTTATTCATCTCAAACCATTTGTCCAAAGGTAATTTGAATTTTAGGTTCTTGTAATCACTAGCACAGCCGATTGGTTCATTTGTTCCATGCTTATTTTGCATCAAGGCGGGTTAGGAAGAACAAGATTTGTGCTGCATAAAAATCTCAAATATACACCGATTTTCGGATTTTACCTTTCCCAGGTATATTTATAGTTAAATCTGTTTATTTTATCAAATCGAGGGAATATTATTGATTCAGATTTGTGTAGTAACGACAGAAGGCCTATGGTCTATGTTAGTTCTCTTCCAGTATGCTTCTGTGAGTGTCCGGTCTTCTCTTGAAAGAGTCGATTTAAGGTGCGGATACTACTGCTTCGGGCAGCAGGCTTCAAGTATGGATGGCTCGGTGTGAAAACCTGTATGCCACGGGTATTTTTTTCGTTCTTGGCTTTTTTACTCGTCTGCTATGTCCTCTGATATGTCTCGATCTAGGAGAATAAGAGAGAATTAGTTAAGTCCAAAATCATTTCTCAGTATTCTTTACATCAAAATTAGATCTTCCCTTAGTTTGAGATAAGACAGAGTAAAGAGGTAATAGTTACTCTATCCCGAGAAAAATTTTGAAATTAACGTCTAAACAGGTGACTTATAATTTAGACGCACTTAGTTACATGCGTATTTAACAACCTCGTCCTGAAGATATAAATTGTAATGGATATAAAAAAGAATTGTATTATAACAAGATATACAAACGGAGATTAAACATCTATTATTATTGTTTTTAATACTTTAAGTCAGAAGTTCAAAGATCGCTAAAAGTTAATTAAAAATAAAACAAATAAAATGTATGAGCTGTTCCTAAACTATCAGTAATTTTTCACTTGTTATTGAAGTTTCTTAGATAATAATTAGATAGGTACAGTGCAATGATCGTTGCCCATTTTACCTTAAGTTCACCTTTATCACAAATAAAACTTTCAGCATGTTGATTTCAACATTGTTCGTCATTTTGATTCTTTGATTACTTTTTAATCCGTTTAGGTGCTGTATATTGGCACCGAACACTTCTACAGATTAACTCCTGTCAAGCAAAGTTCATCATAACAAAAAACGCTCAGCTTTATACATTTTTGTCGTCTCAACGTCTATTCAGTGAAATTATTTGCTCGAAGCATATCTTAGACGCCAGCTTATCTTTTTCTCTTGCAACTTACGGTTTTTGAAGTATTCCTACTTGATTACATAAATTAATAAACGACTTGACAGTTTGTGATAGTAAAACTAGTTTTTGTAGAAGAAAGAAAGGATATCTAAGTTATCTTATTTTTGTGTCATGCCATATATGCCTTCATCTCCCCCGTACGTGCTATTATTATTTAAATATTTTTTATATGTTGTGACTCGTAAACGTAGATCTAACTAATTTTAAACATATCCAAGTCTAATGTACTAACTTTTCATCATCATTTATATTGTTTGAAATAAGTTTTGTGTAGGCTCTTTGTTGATAAAGATGGTTATATAACCATTGGCAGTTGGCGCCAGAAAATCTCGAGCTCAAGTGATATCTGTGGCAGAAGAGATAAACTTTTATATCCATAAATCCAAGGATTACTATAGTAAATGCAGACTACTGAAACTTGTCGAATCCTATCTAAATTAACATGACAGAATATGAAAGTTAACGAGCGGCCCAACCAAGATATAATGCATGGATACTATGCGACTATTTTTCATTATTGGTTGTCCAAATCGATGTTTCAGAGCGGGTTCTTTAAACTAAATAAAACAATATGTTACCGAAATTAGGTGCAAAACACAAATTGTTAAGGATTGGAAAGCGTCCTAATTTTCTTGCTTTCTGTAAATAAAAAAAATACTTGCTAACTGTATGCAAAGGCTAAATGTACCTTACGCATTTAAACACTAACAGTGGGAGTTTGATGTTAAAAATCTTTTGTCATCACAAGTACTGAAGTAGGTGCAGTTAAAACTATATAATGTATGCATCGAAATTTCACTTTAAAGCTTCAGCTTCAAAAACCAAATACTATATGCTGCTGTTACATGACAGTTTCCGATTCATTATGGTTGAAACTATTCGATACTTTACTGGCTTCCATGATATTGGCAAACTAAGATTCTGAAACGAATCATTTTCCGTACGATTTTCAAATCAACTGATTATTTGCTTAGTTTTCAAGTTATGTATTATTTACTTTATGCTATTGATTTTCAGCAGTTTTGATGGCTTGAGAAGTTTAGTGAGTGATAACTCGTCGAGCAAAACACGTGGTTTTCATTGTAGGCAGAATTCGTCAATTTTAGAATTTATATGAATACAATTATTCTGAATAATGAGAGGTTCGCTTCCTAGGACATAATTTACTTCATCCCCATTTACGTTGTTGTCCATTGTTAAAGTGTATTCAAAGTAGTAGTAGATAAATAAATATGGAAGTGTTCACATCTTCATTGGGTATCGACAAGCGAAAACCGTGTTATACTTTATCTGTGAATACTGGAGACGTTAGTATCAGATGATAAAACGCATTGCACTTCTGGATGTTACAGGTTTGCAACGAAATGGTCCGTAAATGTTTTAATGCCCTCATTTTGATGATGAACTGGATAAGCTCATTCAATAACCGTCGCAATTTTTTATTCAGAGGGCATCAAATTCATTTACTGTGTTTAAACTACACTCAGGTTAACATCGTATATTTTTTTGTCTAGCAATAAATAAACAGTGTCTTGCAAGACATAAAGTTATGCCAGTTTTTCATACTCAAAAATGTAACAAATTTTAGAGCGGAACAAAGACTACACAAAAACTGGACCACACTGATACTTAAATAATTATAACTTCTCTAAACTGGTAGATATTACCTACAACAATTCGGAACGATAATTTATTTCTAATAATTTGCGAAGGTGAATGAGGCCGATAGTGACCTATTTATGAAGTGAAAAGGTTACAAAAATATGCAATCTATCACAGAATATGACTTATTCATTAGACGTCTATGAAATTTTATTCATGTGTGCACATTTGTCTTTATAAACGTTGTGCAAGATGGTTTCAGGGCATTAAATAATAAACACAACATTGGATTAATTTTTAGTATTCTTCAAGGCTATCCAGTCTCATATCTGAAATAGTGCAGTAAAAGTCTTCACGATTACAGGTTCTCTTAATATTGTCAAAATACCAAAAGGCTCTTCAGAGTTCTTAAAATTTATCAGTAAAGTTAGGAACTGAATTTTGTTCTTAGGACAAAGAAACTAGCTCAGATGCTTAAGTAATAACTAGAACATGGTATAGAAAAGCAGGATACTGTCGAAATGTCAATTTTATGTTACATTAAAAATATAAGTATCAGTCAGTGTGCACCTTCATTATCTTGTGACACTGTAGAAATATTAGAATATATTCTGCTGAATAACTATTATCTTTTGTAAAATGAAACAAGGCTTCTAACATGCAAACAATTAATAATTTACTCATTTTTGTTTCGTTTTTGCAATTAGGACTCTTGCTTATTCGTTGACCGATATAATTTTAATGCAAAAGCAGCTATCAGTACACTAAATGATATTAAACAACTTCAGGCCAATGTGAGTTGATATCAGTATTTTGTATTTTAAAATTTGATTTTTGAATTAACTTTAAACATGCCGACTTAATGCAACCATAAGATACAAGTGAATGGCCGAAAAACTGTTAATTTAATTGTTTCACAATATTAGTTTATGAAGAAAGCCATACGAATAATTGGAAACAAAAGCGTGTTTCACCGCTAAATATCTATCAGACATTTTAAAAATAGCCGAAAATTTACAGTTTGTATTCAATAGTTTAAGAACTTCCAACCAGCTTTTTTACCTAATGATGTTTTAGGCTGATCAAAACACGAGAACTTACTTTCGTATTAGAGATTAATCAAAAGTAAAGTAAATATGTTAAGGAATATCTTTTTATTTGTTAGTGGCAAACATGGATATTCTGTCCAGTTATTAGACAAGTACAAATGTGGCTTTCTAAAATATATGATGCAGCAGCCTTATTTATTTCTAGAAACAAGTTTTTTATCAGTATATTTGCTCATTCACTGCTTGGGTTACTTCAAGCATTCTCTATTTCCGTGTCCAGTTAGGAGTATATATACAGAAGATTTTTATTGAAATCGTAAATCCGTCTAAATTAGACAGTCATCGAAAACTAGGAAGTAAGTTTTTCTTCAATGTTTCTCCGTATTTATCTTGCATATTTAGTCAGCTATCGGTAACTATACATGTTTAACGTTCGCAAAACAAACGGTAAACCGCTGTTCTGGTATTGTATTTCAACGTGGCACACACCACAGAATCAAGGCTGAAATATTCAATGCATGCAGTAGGGAAAATTACTCAATTAAAACTAAAATTTCTATGAGTGTATGATCTCTCACATTTCTCAGGTCTTGGTTTAAACCATAGCAGCTCAGTTAATATGTTCGGGGGGCATATCAGATGTTGTAGCTCGAAGAAAAAAGCATAAATTAGACGAAGTTTTGAAATGTAGGTACCAAGAAAACTGTAGTATACTAACAATTTGATCAATTTGTTCCACTGGTTACTTGTATCAAAATACTCTTATTGGTGTCAATTGTCTCTTAACTGAAGTGTTTATAAAACAGTCGAAAATATCATACAAGTTTAGATTAGAGTGGTTTACTGCCGAAGGTTACTAATACATGACGAAACAGTTGATCTTCGTTTAGAATATCAAATTAATATAAGACCTACCCATAAATGTAGAAATTCGTTAAGATTTGTTACTATGTTGAGTCTATATATTATGATTTAAATACAGCATGAGAAATAGTAGCTTGTCTTTAAGAGTATACAGTGTAATATTTATGTCGTTTACTTCTTATCGCTTTGCAGCAACAAAACAAGGAATGAAATGATAGGATGTTCAGTTTATTTACAGTTCTTCTATGCTATACTCGACTGTTTAGGTTATACTCTGTTACTTGATCACTGAACAACCAGTCATTTTTCATTTATCCGATTCTGACTTCATTTCACTAATGTGGTAGATATCGCGACTCATGATCTCAGCAACTGAAATTACTAAAATCTCCACAAAACCCCCTTCTGATAGTAATCAACATATGCTCACTAGTGACTGGCTTCAAGATGTATATCCTGGAGTTCTAGTGGGTAGCAGTAACCAGTGGAGTTCAACCGGGTGATTTGTGAGATAGTAACTCACCGATGACAATGGTGGATGTGTCACTCAATTTCGTCGATTAGTTGAGGTTAGATATTAACACCATTGGATGCCGGCTCAGTGGTGAAGTAGGTTAAGTGTTCGTACGCGGGACTGAAGGCCCTGAGTTCGAGTCCCGCGGGCGGGATCGTGGATGCGCACTGCACAGGAGGAGTCCCACAATAGAATGGAACGGCCGTGCAGTGCTCCCAAGTTTTCAATGGTGGTCTAACATCAATCGGTTCATGATCTCAATCAAAAACTTAACAATATCCACAACCTTTAATTGACCAACATATTTGTTAAATTATATACTAATCAATTTTTGTTGACCTAGTATTATAACTGTATTAGTTTTGGAAGTAGTTAGTTTGGCAGCTAACTGTTAAACTGTTCCTAAGGTCAGTCAAACGGTAGAAATAATGAAAATACAACAATATGGGTAAATTTTAATTAAACAACGTTTAACAGACAGTACTGTGTACATCGTTATCACATTGTAATATTCGTAGAAAAATCATTGACTACTGCAAAATACTGGACCAGATTCTAGTTCAAGTCTTGTTGAATGTTCTAAGGATCAAGTTGAATTAGAATCATATACATGAATAATAGGTTCAGTGTAGAAGTATCGAATACCTAAATCATGATCCAATCTATCAATTACTTACTTGCTTACTTACTTACTTATTTACTTACTTACTTACTTATTTACTTACTTACTTACTTACTTATTTACTTACTTACTTATTTATTTATTTACTTACTTACTTACTTACTTACTTACTTACTTACGCCTGTTACTCCTTGTGAAGGAGCATAGGCCGCTCACCAGCATTCTCCATCAAACCCTGTCCTGGGCAATCTTTTCTAGCTCCTTCCAGTTGTTATTCATCCTTTTCATGTCTGCTTCTATTATCCGACGTAATGTGTTCTTTGATCTTCCTCATTTCCGCTTCCCTTTAGGATTCCAATTAGGGCTTGCCTCGTGATGCAGTTCGATGATTTGCATAGTGTATGTCCTATCCATTTCCATCGTCTTTTCCTAATTTCTTCTTCAGCTGGAAGCTGGTTTGTTCTCTCCCACAAAAGGCTGTTGCTGATGGTATCCGGCCAATGGATGTTGAGTATCTTGCGTAGACAATTATTCATAAATATTTGTACCTTCTTGATGATGGTTGTATTAATTCTCCAAGTTTCAGCTCTGTACAGTAAAACTGCCTTGACGTTGGTATTGAAGATTCTCACTTTGATATTGGTTGAAAGTTGTTTTGAGTTCCATATGTTCTTCAATAGGAATGCGACCCTTGCTTTGTCAATCCTTGCCTTTACGTCTGCATCTGAACCTCCTTGTTCATCGATGATGCTTCCCAGGTATTTGAAGGATTGTACATCTTCCAGAGTTTTGCCATCAAGAGTGATTGGATTGCTGTTCTCCGCTTTGAATTTGAGGACCTTGGTTTTCCCTTTGTGTATGCTGAGGCCTACTGATGCAGAGACTGCTGCTACAATGGCTGTCTTTATCTGCATCTGTTCGTGTGTATGCGATAGGAGGGCTAGGTTATCTGCGAAGTCCAAATCGTCTAATTGATTCTGAGCTGTCCATTGTATTCCGTGTTTTCCCTCAGATGTCGAGGTCTCCATTATCCGGTGGACCACCAGTAGAAAGAGGAAGGGAGAGAGTGGACAGCCTTGTCTGACTCCGGTCTTCAATTGGAACGTATCTGTTAGCTGGCCTCCATGCACGACTTTGCATTGTAGTCCGTCGTATGAGTTCCGGATAATATTGACAATCTTCTCGGGGACTCCGTAGTGTCGAAGAAGTTTATATAACGTCCGCCTATCTACACTGTCAAATGCCTTTTCATAATCAATGAAGTTGATGTATAGTGATGAGTTCCACTCAACTGATTGTTCGACGATGATCTATAGTGTTGCAATTTGGTCTGTGCACGATCGATCCTTACGGAATACAGCTCGTTGATCTCGAAGTTGGGCGTCTACTGCATCTTTCATCCGGTTCAGCAACACTCTGTTAAAGACCTTCCCTGGTATTGACAGTAGTGTAGTGCCTCTGTAGTTTTCACATTTGCTCAGATCTCCTTTCTTTGTAAGCTTGATGAGGTACCCTTTTTTCCAGTCCATCGGCACTTGTTCCTCCTCCCAAATTTACTAGTTTTTGTGCAATTTGAAAACATATAAATCCATTTTGTTGACTACAACAACAAAGTAATGTGAATTTATTCATGTTCAGCTAATACGACTGACTGACCAATTATGCCCGATGTAAACTGATTTCACGTTTCAACATGTACAGAACAATGTGCATCATATCTATTCGATTAGACAAATTTTTATTTAAAGGATTTCACATTTGTTTACTCTTTAACTTTCTACAAAAACTGTCTTATCAATTATTTTCGTTTCAAATTATTATTACCATCATTATCACAATTGTCTATGAGAAAATATACCAAACAATAATGGAAAAATACATGTAAACACTTATCACCATAATTATATGAATGAATAAAACTTCAATTAGTCATTTCTAATTTTTCTTTTCATTGTCATATTAACTGTGGTTGTTACTACTTGATTATTCATTCTTTCGTGTATAATTTGTTATATTTAAGTATAATATATTATCAGTTATACGCAACGTAGAATCTGGCACATATATAAGTGCATTGACTCAATTTGTTATACTACATTAAGATAAAGAAATAAAATTGTTAAAACAAATGCTAGAGTAGTATATGCAAAGATGAATAGTGACTAGCAGTGGAATCCAGGATGCGCGTTTCGTCCTATTTGAGACTCGTTAGCTGGATGTACCTGCATCTCAGAGTCGATGTTCACTCTGGAAATCGAACTCATTACTGTTCGCTTCAACCGCCACCGCGTTATCCACTTAGCTACTGAGCAGTATATGTAATAAAAATATTATTGATGACAGGAAAAATTAGGCTTCGGTAGTACGATTCGAATAAAGAATATGGATTAATTGAATACAAAAATTTTAAAGTAATTTAGATTCTTACATGGTTATTATAAGAGAATTTTTGTCCTGTCTTAGAAACTAGAATGACCAGTGTTCGAGATTAGTTAAATAAGGTTACAAATGCAAATATTGTGGGTGTTTAAAATAATTATTTCATATTTTATTCTGAACATTTATACAAGTTATATAGTGATAAAATTGTTTAGAATCAGGGAACTTTCATAAATGAACATCATCTTTATTTTGCTTTTACTAGAATGGGAAGTCTGTTTCTAGTTATAGGTTTGTTTTAAGTTACCAAGCTTTGATGGTGTTTTATTTATGTATTAAAATATTATTACGTTATGGAAGCATTAT